CCTAACAAAACAAGGAACGTAGTAGTGTTTTGTTCTAGAAAAGGATAAACAAAAGAAAAAGAAGAGCAACAGCTTTACTTGAAGCTAAATGAAATATAATTGACACCGTATTGTAGTGAAAAAAGTGGTAAAAACGTAAGAGGAGTGTCAGCGCAAAGCATGTTGATAAACACTGAAATGTAAATAAAAGAATGTAAATAGAAATAAGTAGGAAGCGATATCACCTGATTAATAAATATGGAAAGAGACTTTGATGTGAAACAAATGTGCAATGAAAGGAAAATGATGTAGAAGGCACAAAAAGTGGTAAATTAAAAATGGTCCTTACCTAAGTAATGTGCGAAGTGATATAAAACGCGAGATTAGCGGTTGAACTCGTTGGAGACACACGCATGCTTATGGAACAATGGTCCATCAGAAACTGACAAGCAGCTATTTAATAAAGATCCGAGACGTGATTGTAGTGAAGAAGAGCCAATTGTTAGACGAGACTGGCCCACTCTTTAAGGCATATCGCGCCTGCAGGCAAAACGCGTGCAGGAGTGTGGTAGAGAACGAACCCAACGCGAAGGTGATTCGGAGCAGTGGCTTTGCGGCTGTTCAGTATAACAAACAAAAACAAATGACTTTCATTTATAAAAAGTAAGGAAGCAATGAAAACGTGAATAATTAGTATTTGATATTAAGCAAAGCAAAAGTAAGGCCAAAATATAGCAACTAAAATAGCTCTATGGTAACGCAGGGAAGTGTGGAAGGAAGTAAGTATAGAAAGTAAATTTAATGAAACAAGTGCAGTACATGGAAAAAATGAAGTAAAATTTGGTAAGAGACATTGCAAAAATTAAAAAATGAAATATTGAATGCTTGTTTTAAGGAGGGATAATGAAGGAAAAGAAGGTAAGTAAAGTAGTAAAATATTGATGAATAAAATATCGAGATATGTGGATAGGGGAAGCAAAAGCGAAGTGCATGGCCTCTGTTGATGACTACAATAGTGATAAAGTGAGAGGGCAGTGCTATGCAAGGTGAGGGAGCGTTGGTGCGTGGAGTTGCTTGACCGACACAGCCAATCTTATTGGTGGGCTAGTAAGTGGCTGATAGGAATGTGAACTGAAGGCGACTATGAGGACTGAAGGCCTATGGATGCGATTAATGAAAAAAAAGGAGGAGGTGAAAAAAGGAAAACGAGAAATGACAAGAAAAATGAGGAGGGATGGAGCAGGAGGAGAAAGAATATGAGCGAGAGTAAGGAGATAGGTGAAGGTATTTGACTTGTGGGAAATTGGTAATGCGCCAGAAAAAACAATAGAGATAATAATGAAAATAAAAAGGGGAGGACGAAGAAAAAGAAAAAGAAGAAGGAGAACACGACGAAAAAGAAGAAGAGGGGGAAATAGGGAAAGCATAGAGGGATATTGGTAAGAAAAGGAATACTGAAGCAGAAATGGTACGCAAATGTAAAAAGACTAAGATGTGAATCAGTTTGGGATGGTTGGATGCATGGATGAAATAAAGGAGATTGATGGGGTCTACTGTGACGAAGTGAGTAGTAGAGGGTGTGAAAAGAAGGAAAAGGAAAAGGAGAAATGAAGGATGGAAAAGGAGGAGAGGGATATGAATGTAAGTAATGC